TAAAAAAAAAAAAAAAAGCCAAGCCATAAAGGGAAAGATGGGATAAATTGGAAAGACAAGCCATACCCAGCAAAGAAATAGTAGTAGGATAAAGGAAGAACCTAATATCAGTAAAAAAGAGAGAAGCAGTCTGTTTAAGTGGACAAGGTACAAACATGCCATTACCTGTGGGGGAAGTGAAAGAGCATACCGACTCTGTAGCAGGGTCACAGGTTGGCGGGGTGCGGGGCAGTTACAGCAGTGACACAGCGCGGTTTCGTGCACTGGAGTCTGCTGGTTTCTGTCTTACGTTGTTACAAAAAATAGAAAACGCAAAAACTGCCTCAATCTTTATAAGGTAATGAAATCTTAATTCCAAAACCAGGTAAGGATACTTACAGAAAATGACCAACTCACGTTCCTTACAAGCAATCTAAATGCAGAAATCCTATCTATAGTATTTGCTCACTAAATCCAACAGCGTATTAAAATTAATTCATAATGATCAGAGTTTATTCCTGGAATGCAAGGTTGGTTCAACGTTAGAAAATCTGTCAGTGTGATTCACCTTCTTTTAATAGACTGAAAGAACATTATTTGATATTTCTGAAGAAAAAGAAATAGAGGTAAGGTTAGACAGGATGTGCTAAAACTTATTTGCAGATGATAATTGTTATCGAATAAAAGTTTAGCAAAGCTCCTGGGTAAGAGGTCACTTTTAAAAATCAATACCATTTCTGTGCATCAGCAATAAGCAACTAGGAGTATAGTAAAAGACAAAGTACCTGTCACAAGATACATCAAACTATAAATTATTTAGGAATTATGTTTACCCATATATATAAAGAGAGAGAGAAAACTTGGAAGTGCCAATTAAAGAGGCCCCAGAAGATCTGGACAAGTGGAGGCCCATTTATTCTGTGATGGGCCAGCTCAGGGTTACAAATACTCCCACTTTATCAAATCCATCTTTATGTTTACTGCAGTTTCACTCAGAGTTTTAGTTGGGATTTTATTTTTTTTTATTAAAAAAGATTTTTTTTTAATATATCTTTGATTTCAGAGAGAGGAAAGAAGAGGGGGAGAGAGAGAGAGAGAAATATCAATGATGAGAGAGCCATTGATCGGCTGCTTCCTGCACGCCCCTAACGGGGGATCGAGCCTGCCAGGCATGTGCCCTGACCAGGAATCGAACCCCGAGCACCTGGATCCTAGGTTGACGCTCAACCGCTGAGCCACGCTTGGCCGGGCTTAGTTGGGATTTTAAAAGGCACTTGATAAACATACTCTGAAATATCTGGAATAATAAAAAGGCTTCCAAATTGCTTAGAGAATCGTAAGGAAGATGAAATAAGAGACTTGCCGTGGCAGATATTCAGTCATGCTGCAGAGTCACAGTAATTAAAACTGTGATATTAGCACACAAATAGGTGAGGGGCCAGTGTGATTGGGGGGAGAGCCCAGTAACAGCAGGGATGGCTTGGGGCAAATGGGGGCCGGGGACCAGTGAAATCGGAGCCTCCCTGACCTCCATTCTGAAGGCAGGTCCTGGTGGGTTGAAGATCAGTGTTTGAGATGGGAGCCTATGTGTGGTGCTTTCACTTTCCACGTGCCTGGCACAGTTGTCTAAACGGCTCCCATGTATTAACTGTTCATTTACTTCCCTTTTTAAGACCCGGAGAAGGTAAGTACTGTGGTGTCCTCCCACTCTCCAGTTGAGGACAATGAAACTGGAGTTAAGTGATGTGGCCAAAGTCTGTGGTAGTTAGAAGAAAATGCAGTGCATCTTTCTGGCCTACTGCAGAAAAGGACTTTCTTTTTAAAAACAAAACAAGAAAACATTCCAAAGCATAAACCATAATGCGAAGGGTATACTTGGATTGCATCAATGTTAAGAATTTCTGGCTGATAAACTGTAGACAAAGTTAAGAGGCAGATGGCAAATCAAGGGGGATAAAGCTTACAGTATCTGAATCAATAAGAAACTAACATTTACTATTCAATTCCTATAAACCAGTAAGGAAAAGATAGAAAGCCCAAATCAGAAAATGGGCAAAAGATATCAGTAGACAGTTTACAGACAAGGAAATCCAAAAGGGCTAAAAATCAAGAGATGTTCAGAAGGCTGTCGTCACCTGACGCCTCTCAGAGCCTGGCAGGCATGTGTGGACAGTGCCGAGTGCTGGCGGACTCGGGGGGCTACAGCAGCCCCATCGCCCTGCTCGGGGGAATGCAGACTGGACTTCCCTGTGGATGGGAGGATGGCTGCCTTCCCACGGCTGAGAAATGCCTGCAGTCCCCTGCAGCCCTGCATGGTGGCATGTGTTACCCTGCTGTACACAGGCATGGAGGTGGCGGAGGGCGATTCGGTACTGGTCGCTGCCAGAAGCAGGTAGAACTGGAGTTGCACGCCTTGGGGGGCACTGTGTGTGCAGGGAGAGATGGACCTTCCAAAGCGTGCTCATCACAGAGATGATACATGGGGGTGTACAGTTCGGTGCCAGTTATGTGACTCAAAACACATCTGAGTTGACTGCATTTTACAGGAATGAAGTACAGGGTGGGGCAAAGGAGGTTTCCAGTTGTGAGTACACAAAAGAGTGTGTTGTGTTGTTATTAACTTACTCTTGTATTATTTTCCATATGAACAACTGGAAACCTCCTTTTGACCCATCCTGTATGTATGTAACAAGAGTAGGATGAGTAATGAACCAGGCAGGTCAGGTTGTCAGCACATCTTTAGACCTTAGTTCATTTTCCTCCTCACAAATTTCCCAGACCCACCTGAAAGCCACCCAAGAAGTCATCCTAAAATTAGGCTTTTCATAAGCAAATCCAAGACCGGGCCCAGCTCTGAGAATGCTGGACCTTCCCAAAGGGAACCTCCGGCTGCTTTTACCTCATGTTAGTGCCATCTTGATTGTGTCAAAATGGAAATCCAGACAGAATAGGCAAAAGTCTGAAATTTTAGCCCACAAACAGTTGAAAGTACTGCTTGTCTTTCTTCACCAAGAGCCATCGAGGGGGAAAAACCTTCCGTGTTCCACTTCCCCAAGCCCTCTGACCTCACTGGGGGTTTCTGCCTTTTCTGGCCGCAGTTCTCGGCTTTCTTCCCTTAGGGTGTTTGCACTCCTGGAGAGCAGCTGAAGAAGTTCAGGCGCCGTGGAACTCTGCTCCCCTGACCTCAGCCAGCAAGCTGACAGGGTTTGTCCTATGGGCTGTTTAAATGGTGGGCTCAGCCCGAAAAGCAAAATGCTTAACTAAAGACTCGTTCCTTCAAACAGGTTCATTTGACACCTCCACCGAGTCTGCAGATTTGCTTATGCGCAGTCGTGGACATATTAGCCCCACCCCTCATTATAGGAGTGTTCTGAAACTCTTGTACATTTCTTTTCTGTTTTGCACACTTGGCGTCAGAGTGTTGAAATCCTATCGGTATGTAAATCATGGGGGCCGTTCTTATCAACACAGCTGCATCACATCGACCCTTTGAGTTTCCTCCTGCGTGATCCTTCCTCCTGTGGTTTCCCCAATCACTGTCCGTGCCCGTCTCCCTCACCTGCGCATGCTCAGCCCCAGGGCTTGACTCCATGGCAGTCATGACTCCAGAACCATTGCATGTGCCCTAGTCCTCCACTGGGCGCTGGCACCTCAGGGCTCTAATGCTGCCTCTCCTCCTCTTTCCCACAGCGAGGAAGGAAAACTGTCTACCTCTCAAGATGCTGCTTGCAAAGGTGTGGAGGAGAGCCCCGAGCCGGCTCAGGCGAAATCTGCGGCCCCCCGGCCCCCCAGCAGTAGTTCCGAGCAGAGGTAACACCCACTTCCCAGGCCCTGCCCTGGCCACTGCTGTTGTCTCCTGGGTGCTGGGGGGACGTTAGCACCTGGGAGTGGGCTGGGTGGGGGGAGTCATTACAATGGTCCTGGAGCATCAGTGACAGTACCATTTTCTCAGGCCTTATGGAATCAGGGTGACTGAGCGCAGAACTTAGAAATAACAGTTTGTCTCCTTACCCCAGAAGCCAAAGGCGGACTGTTTTTGGAGATACAGTAACATCACTGGCTCTTTACAAAATTTCAGGAACGGAAGGGTCTCATGCTGGCATTACACACACAGGTTTTTGGGGTTTTTTGATGAGGCGCTAAGTTGAGACTGCCTGAGCCCCCTCCAGGATTGGATTCCATTGGTCATGACAGCCACTGGCCCTGTAGAGTCATGCAGCCACCAGGCAGGAACGGCTCCTGGTGCCCGTTTTTCCCATGGATGTGCCCATGTGACATGCATGGAGAACCTTCCTGGAGACCCTTTTGTATGTCGAGCTAAATATTCTCCACTCTGATGATTGCATTTGGTTTAGTTTTTGCAAAATATTTATCTCCAAGTGTGGAAATCCCACTACCAGATTTTCTTTCTGGGCACCTTTTGCTTAGGCTGAGCCAGGGTCTGAAGGGATAGGCCAGGCCAGAGTCCCGGTGCGACCACACAGCCTCAAGGGCTGATCAAGAGTGGCCTGGAGCTCCTGCCAGAGGATGAAGACTTGTCCTGGGACCACAGAGACTTTGCTCAGCACTTCCCAGAGTTAACTTCTCTGATTAAATATTTCTAAGTCTGAATATTCCTTCCCTAAGGAATAAAGTAACCTTTAAGGTCATTTCAGAGAAGTTACACTTTCCCCCTTGCCAACCCTCCCTCCCCAATTTTCTAGGCATTTTAGGGTTAGCATAACCAGCGGGGCCAGCAGGGGGCGCACTCTGTCCACTGATCTGCAAACAACCTTAGTGTAGCAAGCTCTGCCTTTGTTTCTCTCATGAAAATTACAGCCAGAATGAATGTGATTTTAAAAATACATATATTCTGTTTATAAAACAATGAGAACTGTTTTGGCATGTTGGCTTTACTGCAGGCTTTGGGAGGAAGAGGCAGGTTGATGCTCCAGCTGTGGGGAATCCAGCCCCAGCTGTGCTTGTAAGGGTTTGGGCAAGTCAGTTTTTTTTGCCTGGGTTTTCGTGTATGTTTTTTATAAAGCCCCTTCATAGGTCTGATTCCTAATCAGTTGTCATGCGTCTGGTTTCTACTTACAAGTTTCCTTTATTTTGAGACCTGCCTAGAAGGCAGGATAATCCAGTCTGTCCCAGTTGGATAGTTGCTTCGGGAGTCTGGTTGTGGCTCCTCTGACCTGAGAGGCATGTTTCCCTGGCTCTCGGGGGTGCAGACTTCTTTGCTTCTGTTTGCTTCGGGAAACCCACGTGCTGAGGGCCACCTGGTATGAAGAGCCCCGCCTCCCACCTGCAGGGCTGAGGTGGTGGAGGAAATGCCAGGTGAGCCAGTGGAAGAAGTGACACCCCTGTGTCCATGTGGCGTTTGTCCTTCCATCCTTTCAGCACACGGCTCAGCGTGGCAACTGCTGGTCTAGGCCTGAGGAGAGAGCAGTAGCAAAACAGGCAGCATGGGGATGCGTAGAAAAGGTGCGGATGAAGAATAAATGGGAGGGTGGGGGGCAAGGCCTCTGAGAAGGTGACATTTGAGCTGCTGCCACGGCAGGGACAGGGTAAGTTTTCTGATGAGTCACATGTGTTCTTAAAGCAGTTATGGCAGTGTTGGAGACAGCGAGCCACTTAGACTTCGTGTGCAGTCTTCCCCAGTGTGGCTCCTGGCACAGCTGAACATTGACAGGCGTGCACTGTTGCCCTTGAAGACTTGTGAGGCCACAGGCTTTATTTTCCACTCTTCGCCAGTGTGTCCAACACCTGTGTGCCCACTGGCATGCTGAGCACTTGGCACACATTGTATACTCATGAACCCTTATATGGGGATTATTGTCCCCCTTTTACAGGGGGAGAAAACTGAACTGAGAGGTTAAGAAATTAACGTAAGGTCACACAGCTTGTCAGTGGTGAAGGGAGATGTGGCCAGTTATGTCTGCTTCCAGAACTCACGGTTCCTGTGTTTCTGATACAGTGAGTGGGACCTGAGCATCAAGTATAATTAGTGTGTTTATGTGTGGAGCTGGCATGTTGGCTCTGTTACAACCAGCAGGTACCTGAAAGCCTTGTTTGTAAGTTTTGATGCTAGCTTAGAGGTACTTGTGTGCTTCCCAGTTTGGCCTCTAAGCGTCCTTCTTCCCCAACTATAGGTTGTTAGGGGACGTTAGGGCAACACCATTGGAGTGCCTGACATGTTCAGGTTTTCACCTTGGCAGAAGGGCAGGCACACCTTCTGATTCTGTCCATATAGTGCCCCACCTCCTTCCTCCTCACCGTAAACCTCACATTGATTTGTGGGGGCATGTGTGCTGCATTGCACACCTTATTTTTATTAATTTGAGAGAGGCAGGTAAACGCATGGATTTGTTGTTCCACTTGTACATTCATTGGTCGCTGCTTGTATGTGCCTTGACTGGGGATCGAACCCACAACCTTGGCCCATTGGGACAAGGCTCTGACTGAGCCACCCGGCCAGGCACTCCAGGGCACATCTTTGTTTGTAGTGGGTCTTGTTGACAAGCTTTTTCTTTTGTTTCCTTTCTTAGTAGCAGACTCCTGTTTTTCAAGTTAAATTTTATGTGGATCCCAGTATATGGAAGAGATAAAAGGCTGTACTGAAGGAGGGATGAGGAAATGGCCCGAAGGCTCTGGGAACCGCAGTTTGAAAGCACTGGCCTAGCCTGGGTCTGCGCTAAGCTCTGAGCGGGATTTCCCCCCCGGAGCCTGCTTGTCTGCGGCCCTGGCTGATGCCGGGTAACCGAAGCTCCAGTGCTCTTCAGTTAGTGTTTCTGGAGCTTTAGATAAGTTCATTTACAAAGCGTTTCATTATGTAACTGAAGTGCCAGGCTTGGTGCTAGGCATGGCCCAAACAATGTTAAAGTAAACCTCATCCACCCTTGGGGAGCTAAATGAAGTTAATTTTCCATCTCACATTTCTGCCTAAGTGCCTCAGATGTTTGTCTCTTACTCCATAGGACTGACCAGCCAAGCGTGCCAGGCGACACATCCGTTAATGGCCCTGTATGATGAGTGACCTCTGCTGCTGACTGAGGACTGCAGGCTGCACCATTCAGGGCTCTGGGGCTTCAGCTGGGGCCGCTATGTGCCCCTGCTGCCCTCACTCTGCACGGGATCAGGACCAGCAACCTTTCTACTCTAGATGCTAAGACATTGTACAGAGAAATTCAGACATGTACAAATATTGCACATTGACAAATACCAAGAATTTTTGCGTATGTTTATATTGTATTGTTCTAAATAATGGGTAGCCTGTGAAATAAGATCTTGCCACCCATGTAATAATAGTGGTAATACTATAGTTAAAATGGCTGTAAGAATAGTTTTATAAAAGTGAGTACACAGAGCTATTGTATTTGAAACAACTATTTGACAATTATTAGTGTGACCAAAGTATTAGGCAGTTTTCATACCTTTTTCACCTTGTACAAAATTCTGAATTCATTTTTCTTCCAGGTTGGCAAGGAGGAAGTAGTGGGATTAAAATGCCCTCTAAGTGTTATTTCGGTTGTTCTAACTCACAAAAGTGATTTTGAATAAGAAATACTTGTTCTTTTTATAACCAGTTTTTGATTGGTAACTGTTTTCTGTATTGTTTAAAACGGATCAAAAAATGTAAGTCTCTCGGTAGAGATGAAGTATTTATTGCTGCAACTTAGCTGATGAACTGATGTTATTGTGAAGCCATATGTTCTGTTAAAGTCTCGTTTGCTTGAAATGATTATTCCTGCAGGTGAAACACTAGAATTTTTGGAGTGTACATGGCTTGTGGTTTGGTTTTGTTTTTTGTTTTTGTTTTGTTTCGGTAGTTCATCTGCCTTTTAACCCATTCACCAAAATTTACCTTGTTAACAGGCATCACCAATGAACATTTCAGAGCAATCTGCATATTTAATATACCTGAATCATATTAGGAAGTCCACCGAAAAATGCTCGTGCTGCTAATGGAATTAGAGTACGTTCATTTTAAAGGCTAGTGTGTGAACCTAGAAATCAGACTCTGGCACCTAAGCATGTTAATTGTTTCCTGTGCCCTGTGAGGTTTTCACTCGTAAATTCTCAGCCAGTCTATTTTTTTTAGAACTGGTTTATGTATATATATAGTGATTATGGATACTAATTCAATGTAATTTATAATTTTCTATGTCAATATAAAAATACATCACAGCCTTCTCAAACAGCTGAAGCAATATGTTGTATATTGCGTGCCGTCTGGTGAAAGGGTTAAATGACTTCACCTCTTGCAATTTTAGATGCAAATCAGTTTTTCATTTCTGTAATAGAAAAGTATCCACCTATTTTTACATCGTTTGTTTTTCCTGACCAGTATTTAAAACCAAAAGGATATTCTGAGAAATGGCCAACACTTTTTTTTAGGACTAGCATCCCAAACAACGTGCCTAAACATTACATTGCATATGGAAATAAAAGAATCAAATGTCTGATGCCTTATTTCTTATTTACTCTTCATTTTAAGTGGTGTGGAAACTCCTCCCGAGGTTTACTGGGCAGACCAGGCACTAAGGGACAGTGGAGTCAGCAGTGCACCTGGGGCGGGCACGCGGTGCTCTTGGCCTCTGCACGCCGCCTCAGGAACCCTTTCTGTTGTGGGCGCCTCTTCCAAGACTCTCTCATACGTCCCCTCTGGCACCTGGCACCACCAGAGGACAGGGCTCCTCCCGCTTGTCTCAAGGATGTTGACTTACGTGGCACAGGACCTCGGGGACTGCCGAAGGATGGACGTGCTTTTGTCTTACCTGGTGGAGAGCTTTGCCGGCGACACCAGGGCTTGGCTCCGGGGTGGCATGTGCTACCCCTACAGCTTGGATTTGGTTGGATCGCCATCCCACCCAAGGTAACTGTTTTGTTTCCCCTCCTGCTGCTGAGTGTGCGTGGGGGTTTTCTTGGGGGCCATGTTTTGTGTGCTTGCCTTACATGGCGGGGAAGGACACAATGGCGGCAAGAACGTTGGCGGTTGGAGGGTGCCAGCCCGAGGACCAGACCGGGCTCACACGCACTAGTTTCTACTTCAGTTTCTGTGTGTTGGCCATACTGAATTGCGACACTAACCAATGTCTGCAGTAAAAAATCTGTATGAAAAATAACGACAAAATAAAACCTGATTCTTCATTTCTAGAAACCACCTCTTGTGCATTGTGTGGGCTCCAATAGCCAGACAGGGTGTGGGGCTGTAACGAGGGAAACACCCTCAACCTGTAACAGGTCCTGGCACGAGCCCCCGTGCTGTGTGTCAGACCCCGTGCAGAACGACAGGTGGCCTGAGCAGAGTGCGCCGCCCATGGGCTCGGGCTCATCCCGCCCCCGGCACTTGGCGCACTCCTCTGGTGAGGGGAACTGCCACGCTCCCGTTCAGGGGGTTTGTCTGGACCCCTGGCTCGCCTGCTCCGTGAGCAGTCCCCCAGGCTATATTTGTTGGCTTCCAGCTCTACCAATAACTCTGGTGGTAAAATCCCTCCCTTGTTCCATAATGGTGTTTAAAATGTGGTCCCTCCTGCCCTGGCCGGTTTGGCTTGGTGGCTAGAGCGTTAGCCAGCCTGCAGACTGAAGGGTCCTAGGTTCGATTCCAGCCAAGGGCATGTGCCTCAGTTGCAGGCTCGGCCTAGGCCCTGGATGGGGTGCCTGCCAGAGACAGCCAATAGTGTCCGTCCCTCCCTCTGAAAAGCAGTGTAAAAAACATCCGCAGGTGAGGGTAAGAATAAGATGTAACTACTTTCCATTCCCCTCTATTTGCATAAACAACGTCCCCTGGTGGGGTCAGAGCCCATGGGTCACCCCCTCCCCCCCCGCAGCGTCTCGCATTGAGGCCCAGGGCGCAGGTGCGCCTGTGCTCACGTCCCAGCGGTTACCTTCTTAGTCTCGGGGGCTGCTGCCAGAGGGAAGCCGTAGTAACAAGTTCATAGACTTACCGTAGACAGAACCATTCTTGCCCCACGGGGAGTAGTTGGCAGTAGTTAACAGCTGTTAACTCTTGACCCACTTCTCAACCCAGTAGTGTCACCTGCTCGCCTCTGAATCCTGGCTCTGAGCCCAGTTTGATTTAAAACCTGTACCACCCGAAAACGCGAGCGCCTTCGTGCCAAGCGGGCGGATGTAATGGTCTTTCTGGTTCAGGGCCAGTGGCATCCACTTGCCAGCTCCAGCCCGCCGCCGGTAGGCAGGGTTTCAGCGGAGCACGGCTGCCCACTTGCTCGTACATTCCTGGCGGCGGCTTCTGCTCTGCAGTGACTCCCACAGCCTGTGTTCACTCTACTTCGTTTGAGCTCTCTCCCCCAGAGCCCGTTCCCCTACTGCCCTTTATCACTTGGTGGACACTGGCTTCTGCCTTTGCCACCCATACCCATCACTCAGTACTAACCTAGTAGATAGATGGCACCATGCCCCCTACGAGGTAGGGTATAAATGCAGCCAACGCTACTTCACTGCCTATGGAAGGCACTTGGGGAGTTTGGTTTGGTGGTCTGGATAATTCTCTACTTGTTAACATAACACAGTTCTTACTCTATGCCAGGCCCCGTCCTAAGTGCTCTGTGGGCACTGGCTTTTCTTCACAGCAGTATATAAAAGCGCGATCCCCACTTTACACGCACAGGAGGGACACAGAGGGTAAGTGGTTTGTCCAAGGATGCCTACCCAGCAACTGACAGAGTTGTGAAGATTAAGTGTAACATTATAACACGTTTAAGATGTAACAACAAAGCCTGACCCAGTTATCAGCTGTGATTACAGTGCACTCCCAATCCCATCCTGGTGCTTTTTCCTTAGAATTTTGGCAGTTTGATTTCAAAGTAAGAGCAATGAGTGAGGGAGTGGAGACCAGCTGTACAGAATCTCTACCAGCCAGCAGAACAATAAAAATGTTACGGCCATAGCAACAGACAGGCTGATGAGCAATGTACAAAACAGGCCAACGTGTATGAGAATTCAACTCGATAACCTTGCGGGATTAGAGACTTCTGAGCCACTTGTGGGACTTCCCCGACTTGCTCCTGGCCCCGACTCTCAATTGGCTGCTCCCGCGATAGATACATTGTGTAGCTTCCGACCATATGGCCTGCAAACCCAAAAAGATTTACTGTCGCCCTTTACAGAAAACGTTTGCCAACCCCCAGTCAATGAGATGGAACAGAATCCAGAACTAGACCCACAAATGCATGGTCAGCTAACTTTCAACATCGCCAGCAATCACAGGGAGAGGAGAAAGGAAAGTCAACCGGGTGCTGGATTATTTGGGAAGAAATAACCTTGACTCCTACCATAGACAAAAATCCAAAATAGATCATAGGTCTAAGCAGAAGCACTTAAGCTTCTAGAAGAAAACAAGCATCTAAATAGCTTTGGAATGGGTCAGAGTTTCTTAGGACACCAAATGCAAAATACAGAAGAAAATGAGCTTTCATCAAAATGAAATTTTTCTGTTCTTCAAAATGTAGTTGCAGGAGAAAATGACCCAAGTCCTGGAAGAAGCACAATGCAAATAAAAAACAAGGTGAAAAGCCCAGGTCAACAAATGGGTGAGAGACTGGAACAGGTCATCACAAAGAAGATGTAAGTGGCCAATGAGAACATGGACACTGTTCAGTATTCACGAGGGAATGCAAATTAAAACCACAAAACATCCCCCCTGTTAGAATGGCCAGAAAAGACCCACAATACCAATTATTGAAAGTGTGGAGCCCTGAGAACCCATGTATTACTGTCTAAAATGATACATTTAACTTGGAAACATGCTGGGCAAGTTTTCTTTCTCATTCTTTAAATTTGGGAGACATTTCTGCCCTATGACTCAGCAGTTCTACCAGATATTCACGCAGAAGAAAAAAAAAAAAGTCCACAGAAGGTGTACGAGGGTGTGTGTGTGGGCGCTTTACTCGTGATGACAAAAGGTAAAAAATGTCCCAAGAGCAGGAAAACGGATCAGAAGGTTAACACGAATAGTCCGTCAGCAGGAAACAAGCGTGAACTGGACCAAACACGGCTGATGCGGATGCTGCAGTTTTTTGGACTTTAAAATACGACTGGTATGTTCAAGACGGCAGGTGACCCGTTGGAGAGTTTCACCCAAGGACAGGAATCTATTACAAAACAATCTCAAACGGAAATCCTGAAACTGAGACGTACAACAGTTGGAATTAGGAGCCCGATAAATGAATGTAGAAGCAGCCCGGACGGACAGAGCAGAGCCACGAACGGACGGACAGGTCTGCAGAAAACGTTCAGGCGACGGGCCCGCCCGTCCCCGGAGCCCGAGACAGCAGCCTGCGGGCGGGGGGACATCGGCAAGAGTCCCCCCAAACTAGCCAGGAGGCGTTAGGCTGTGGACCCCAGGAGCGCACGCGAGCCGGGGGCACAGAGAAAGCGAACCCCGGCTAGAGCGCCCGGGGCGCCCCGCACCCCAGGCGACGGCGGGGGCAGCCGCGGGAAGGCGCCGCGCCGCTCGCCTTACTCCGCACTAGAAGCGACGCGGACCGGGAGCGGGGGCGGCCCCGCACCTGCGGAGAGACGG